ATGGACTTTGACCAAACACTAATAATAATAATAATAATAATAATAATCCATCCTGCTCACGGACCCCCGAGTCCTCCAGAGCCGGGTCCGTGACACATTATTTATCAAAAGAAAACGGGTGAGACAAAAAAGTTCATGGCTTAAGCATTTTACTTATTTGTCCAGATTCTAAATTGAAATAAGTTTCGGGTTCAGACACAGCAACATCCGAAGCAAAAGTGATGTTTAGGGCACCAGTGTCATAATTATATAATTATTTATATGGTCAAAGGTAACCAGTAGTGTAGGAAGGATTGGGTATCAGTATTCCTGTATTTACAGCTGACATGTGTTTTCTTGTTTTTACAGCCAAATGTCCTCAAACTTATAAGTACATTTTAAATTTCTTTGAAAACCTGACTTAATTTAATGACCGTATTATAATGAGATTTGTAGTAATGAGTAAATCTCAATTCAAGCCTAAGTCTTACCCTGAAAACACCTTCAACACTACACTGCACAATTATTACGCAAGTGAGTATATTTTATGTACTAAACCACATCAGAGGACTGGTCAAGACCTACTTTCAGTTTTCAAAACACTATGTGAAATTGAGGCACACAACGATGGGACCCGCTGTTAAAGTTTCTGGGCTGCCTTTCCTCATAACAGCCATCCCTCAAGATTTTCTCCACTTAAAGCAATGCAGGATTGTAATATCTAGTCTGTTTACTGAATTTTGGCCATATCATAATTTTTATGCATATTTTCCAACTTCAAGCTGTATAAACTTGAGTGCTTATTGGATTTAAGGATATCAGGTGATGTGTATTTGCGTAATGAGTGAGGGTGTGGCCTAAGGAGATTAACACACTATATAAAGGTGTGCATAATTGTTAGGCAGCTTCTTTCTCAGTCTTTCAGAGGGATGCAGCACTCTTGAAATTGATAAGATATTGGGGTGTGAGCACAGAACCATCAATCGTTTTGTTGCAAATAGCAAACAGGGTCGCAAGAAACGTTTTGAGAAAAAAAGACTCAAATTAGCTGCCAAAGATTTGAGAAGAATCAAAAGTGAAGCTACCAGGAACCCATTATCCTCCTGCTGCCATATTCCAGAACTGCAGCCTACCCGGAGTGTCCAGATTTACAAGGTGTTCAGTTCTTAGAGACATGGCCAAGGTGAGGAAGGCTGAAACCCGACCACCACTGAACAAAACACACAAGTTGAAACGTCAAGACTGGGCCAAGAAATATCTGAAGACAGAGTTTTCAAAGGTTTTATGGACTGATGAGATGCGAGTGACTCTTGATGGACTAGATGGAGGGCCCTGTGGCTGGATCAGTAACGAACACAGAGCTCCACTTCGACTCAGACGGCAGCAAGGTGGAGGTGGGGTACTGGTATGTGCTGGTATTATTAAAGATGAGCTGGTTGGACCTTTTCGGGTTGAAGATGGCCTCAAAATCACCTACTGCCAGTTTTTAGAAGACACTTTCTCTAAGCAGTGGTACCAGAAAAGATCTGCATCTTTCAAGAAGACCATGATTTTTATGCAGGACAATGCTCCATCATATGCATGGAGCACTAGCTGCATGGCTAGCCAGTAAAGGCTTTAAGGATAAAAAAAAAATAATGACATGGCCCCCTCGCTCACCTGACCTAACTAACTTGCAAAATAAAACAAAATAAAAACAAACCAACAAACACAAAAACACCAGACATTATGATACAGACTTATAATTTGCACCGATGTTGCGCCCTCGGTGCGCCTGCTCGCTGCTGAAGTCAAAGTAAACTTTATTGTCATTTCCGCTACAAATAGTCCAGTATATAGAGAGACGAGACGACGAGGCTCCAGTTACAACAGTGCAAGTAACCAAACAATATATATATGATGAGTAAGAAAATAAATACACACTTTAGGACTAGGGATAAAGGGATCAATAACCAGAGGGAGTGTTCGCCCAGTGCGCCAAACAGGCTAGGACCGCCACTGCTGGGAGGCTGTGATTGCTGCTGCTCAAAAAGTTACAGATCAAGAAACTGACTCCATGAATGCAAGGCTTGTGACAGTTATTGAAAAGGAGGGTGGCTATATTGGTCTTTTTTTTGTTTTGTTTTTTGACATGTCAAAAATGTTTATATGTCAATTTTGCGTTGTTTTATTATCTGTTACTCATCACCTCCACTGGGATAGCTAACCTGTAAAAGACAGAAACTTAACCAAATGCATTTTTTAAAAGTTTTAATGCCCCTCAATAAGTCACTGACATGACAAAAACATGAACAACAGTCGTGGTCTTTTACTTTTTCTCCCCAGGTTCAAAGACTTCTTCTGATCATCCTTCTAGAGAAAATATAAACAGCAAATCACAAACTATTAAAATTAAGTGTACTTGATCTCTGCTTACACATTAACTGTTAACATTACATATAGCCATCTTTCTAAGAATGCTTTTGCAATCTTTTTTCTGATACATATTAATTAAAAATATTTCTGCATTTTTCACTGGAACTGGTTTGACCCACCAGCTCTAGACATCAGGGACACCTCTCCAGCTGCCAGTTCTTATCTTGCTAAGAAGTACTGGCATAAAGCTCAGGCATTACAGCAGTCACAGTCATGGCTTTAAAGTGAATCCTGTATATCATTATATATGTTACATATTACTAGTGATCAAGTAACTGTTCCTTTTTATTTATTTATCTTGTCCAGTTTTTTATTTATAGTCCTTCATCTGAATGTTTTTCTTTTTTTTTTTTAGTGTCCAAGACACCTGGTAATTCTGCTGGAGATATTATCTGTGACAACGGTAAGTGATACAAGTACTGCATTCAGTCAGGTTTGTGCTGTATTGACTGATTTTAAAATAAACATTAATTATGTGCACGATGAACGAGTTTTACCAGTAGGTTTCACTCATTCCATGATGTATTTTATATTTTCAAAACCCTCCTCATTAATAAATATTTGATTTTTATCTGAACAGAAGACAGACAAAGTTTGGATCCGCCTGTGAACTTCACCAAGGAATCTTCAACACTGAACCTCTGAGAAAAAGTTTCTGCTGCAACAGAAGTTAACAATTTTTCTTCACTGATTTGATGCAGTTCTTGTCACAGTCCTAGGTTGGTGACCCAAGTATTTTGTGTATTATTATTATTATTATTATTATTATTATTATTATTATTGTTGTTGTTGTTGTTGTTGTTGTTGTTATTCTGTGATTTCTCTGTTTTATATGACTTGTAGTGTTGATTTCTGTTTTTGTATTCTAGTTCTTAGGTTTAGTTCTGTGCCCACTGTTTCCTGTTTTACTTTGAAGGTCAATGTATTCTGTTTTGCTTCCTCCCCATCTCGTCTTTGTAATTAGTGTCAGCCATGTCTCCCAGGTGTTTGCTCTTTGCCCGTTCCCCTTCTGTATTTAGTGTTTGCATGTGTTCCTGTTCGTCATCGCGTCGTCCCTCATACTTGTCTCTGTGTTCTGTTTCAAGCTCAGTTTCCAGCCTTCCCAGTTTAGTTTCTGTTTTGTCTTATGCCAGCAATAAAGCTGAGGTCTTTGAGTTTAAGTTCCGCCTCCACGAGTTTGCATTTGGGTCCTATTCCTGCCTTCACACAGCTGCTCCATGACAGTTCTTCCATTAGGAGCATCACACTCAGCACTCTTAATGCAGTTCTCAAATCAGTGACGTATTTCCTCATCCACAGCAGACTTTCTCATTGTTTTTGTAAACACCACTATTGTGTTAATTAATTTTCCATATGAATGTCACAGCTCATCAAAGCAGTTTGTACTTTTGTCAGTCAAAACTGCAGATTTCTCACTTACCTAGATACTGTTAAGCACTGGATTTAGTCTTTTCAATCAGATTAATACAAACTTTTTGTATGAACCATATGCATTATGTGTAAAAGAACAAGTCCAGTTACACACTGTCAGTGTCACTGTTTAGTGAAATTGGCCTTCAGTTGAAAGTAGATAGAATGTGTGGATAGGACAGTGCAGAAAGTGAGAGGAAAGTGGGAAAAGAATGATGACATGCAGAAAATAGTCTGGGACAGAGTTGAACCTATTTATGTTTAAATTATGTTTCAATAATGCCAAACACTTAAACACATAATTGAATTACTTTGTTTTACATATTTGGCACATTCATATGAGGACATGAAATATTGCTGCAAAAAGAGAATCACCCAGCTGTCAGCTATGTAGAAAGGATGCTGGTGTTATTTGTCTCTCAGAAACAGTTCATAACTTCCCTTCAACTCATTCATGTCACCTTAAAGGTAAACCTGTTTCTCCATCACCTGTTCAGCTCTGATGGTTCAGTAAGGACATCTCCTGGTCTCATCTTCATGTTTCCCTCTCACCACATAACCAAACCGACATCATGACCAGCAGCTTTACAGCTGTGGCTCCAGCAAACATCAGCTGATACTAAGAAGTAATATTAAATAAATTCTAACAACAGCTGATCAAGCTTAAACGTGCTGCTGTTGTTTAGCGCGACATCCGCTGGTTTCCTCTTTCTGGCGCAAAGTGGACAATAAACAAGCAAGAGAGAAAAGCCGATCAGCTGATTGTTGATCAGTTTCATGATTGAATTAGCAACAGGAGGGGGAGAGAAGAGGCAGCTGTGCAGCGTAAAGACACAGAATAACTCCAGCTTTGTGTCTTTTTTTCATTCTAGCAGAAGTACGGGACAAATTGTGTTGCTTTTCACCTCAATACCTTTTTCTTCTGTTTGTCTGCCCACAGCCCGATGGCCAGTCCAGCTGTGCTCTCAACTCAGCCACCATCATGCCCCTCCAGCTCATCAGCTGGGAACGTACACCTGGACCAAACCAAACCGTGAAATAATGAGGGCGGGGCCAGAGGCTGACTGGAATTATTCTGTGTTGCCCAAAACAAAACAAAACTAATGCTAGGAAACAAACACGTTTATAAGTACTTTGTGAAGCATTTTTTATGGTTTCTTTTCTTTTTTTTTTAAAGTACTAATAGAAAGTTTTCATCATTTTCCCCCTTACAGGCGGCCCTCGCCACACATATTGATTTAAAATTAATACCAATCAATCCACTGAGAAACTTAACGAGGTTTTATCCACTGGAGGGAGACCAAACCACCACGATTCAGTGAAGCTCGGCGAAATCATATTTGATATGTATTCCTCATCAGTTGCACAAAAATAAATTTTAAAATTTGTTCTGTGCCTTTAAAGACGCTGTGACCTCACAGACCCCAGAGGCAATCTGTACCATACAGCTAACCCCAGATTAAAAATACATAAATAAATTATACATTGTATACCCAGCATAACTACACCTGTCATAACATAAAAAATAATAAAGATAAGATGAACCTAACTTTAACCCTTCCCTTCATCATTCATGGTTCATATGAAGATATTTTACTTTCAGTTTCGTTGATAACCCTAAAGGCTGCGTTTACCCCAGATTTAAGTGACGTTTACTCTCAGAGTAAATTCTTATTGGCTCAGATGGAGCCCAGTGGTGACGTACCTCCTAGTTCTCCTCCTTTTCTCCTATTTTAGCTTTAGCTTTTTCTGGACAACTGAAACATAAAGTCTGTTAAAGGTTTCCGTGTTTATGGTCACAATGAAGGTCATCATCTTCTTTCTTATCCTGGGGATACAGGGAGCAGCGGCAGGTCAGTTTGACTGACGATTTCTGTCGAAAACTGTTTGACGAGTCCCGTCTTTAAATCGTTCATGACGCATTTTTAAACGTTGTTACTCTGCTGTCTCTCCAAGCACTCTAACAAATAAAACATCAGGGAGGAGGCCTGATGCTAATCTGGTGACAATAATCAAAACTGTTATTTTAAAAACGGAATACCATTTTAATTTTCACAAGGAATTAAAACATTTTCACACAACAGCTCACCATTAAAGTTCACTAAAGTTCATTTGACACAAAGTATCTGTAAAAAACTTAGATGTTTAATTATTTGTTCAGCATAAGCTGTATATAAAGAGCCACATGTCATTAAATGGAGTTTATTGTGAATACTTTATGTTTCACAAACATGCGCGAGTTACACCCGGATATGAAGTTCACTGTTTTTCTGATGTTATTGCTTCATTAACAGCACAATGAGGTGACTTTTGTTGTGAGGTGTATAAATAAAATTGAATCGAATTCAAGTGAACTGAATTGAGATACAAATTAAATAATTATTTCTTTATAATTTAATACAGTTTATGTATGTAAAGTGCCAATACACTTTACATACCAGCAATAAGAAGCTGGAAGTGAGAAATGCCAGAAAAGTTTTGCAATTTAAAGACACTCAACCTCAACCAGTGAGCGCTAATGAGAAGTTTTAAACTCACTATATGCCTTGGTCTCTAACACTAACAGATAAATCCATGTACTTTTGATAACTGAAAACTCACCTGCAAACTTAATTAATGAATAAAAGATAAAATCCAAATGCATAAGATAATATTCTCAGAATATCAGTTACTTAACATTAGCTTTTTATTGATAATGTCAATCAAAGATATTGGAAGTAAAGCTTTCTGTAACAATTTTAAGCTTTAACAAAATCCATGAGAAATAAAATAAACAAAGAAAAGCATCGATATTGATATTTAGAAAACCCAACACTGAAATTCTGAAAAAACAACAACAAAAAAACCCCACTAAGTTCATGTCTTTGGACAGTGGGAGGAAGCCCGAGTATCCAGGGAGAACATGTAAACTCCACACAGAAAGACCACGACCTGATGGGGAATTGAACTCAGGACTTTCCTGCTGTGCAGTAACAGTGCTAACCACCGTACCACCATGCTGCCCTGAGTTCAAACCATTAATCATGAAAACTGAATTAAAGTAAACTGAAGGATAAACACCAGTTTTAAAACTTAAAATTGTTTTGTGAAAATCAGGTTCAAACTAGAATCTGTTACAAAACACAAAATTACAACAAACACTGAATATCTATTCATAAATCTATTTTGTGTTTATTGAAGGGACAGCAGGATTATTACAGGATGTCTTTAACGTGCTGCAGTTTTTCTTATTGTGTTATTTAAAAAAATAATGTGATTTATAAATCTGTGTTCCTGAGATCTCACAACATTAACTGTTTCTTACAGTGACCCACTCTCTGAAGTATTTCTACACTGCCTCCTCTCAAGTCCCAAACTTCCCAGAGTTTGTGACTGTTGGGATGGTTGATGATGTTCAGATTAATTATTATGACAGCGACACGGAGAGAGAGGTGCCCAAACAGGACTGGGTGAACAATGCAGTAGACCCACAGTTCTGGGAGAGGAACACTGATATCTCCAGGGGTTCCCAGCAGACGTTCAAAGCCAACATTGAGACTGCAAAGCAGCGCTTCAACCAATCTGGAGGTTTGTTCATGTTTCATTTTTACTGATATTTGCGGTTAATGTTTTCAGTGTGTTTTGTTTTCAGTAGTTAACAGGTTTGTATACAAATGAAAATGTTTCATTCAGATTACAGATTACAATTATTAACATAATAATTCATAATGAATGCAGAACTACAGTCTGGGAAGCTTTAATTTAATGCAACCAGCTTTAAGGATCATGTTTGTATGAACTGATATAATTTGTCAGTTAACTGGTTAGTTGATCAAAATAATTAAGATAAATTTGCGATATTTGCAGTTTTCTGTTTATATTTAGGAATTTTTTTTGTCTCTGAAACCTTGATGATTGTTTTTGATACAATTTCTTAATAATTGATTAATAAGAAAATAATCTCCAGAAAATCTGCAGGATCAGAATAATCAGTCTGAGGTTTGAATATTTTACAATTATTGTGAACTAATATTTGACTTTTATTAAAAACAATCCTGGACTGAAAGTCTCCTTCAGTGGAAGCTTCTAGAAAAACCTCCGGATGGATGGAAACTTAATACCCAGGATCAGGATAAGTGAACCACAAAGGTTAACAAACAAAGTTCAAAGAGGGAGGCACGAAGGACAAACTGCATGTTTAGTCCTAAGCAGCAGCCACTAAGTGAACGATTTCCAGCCTTTTGCAGCCACAGGTGAGTACAATCAACCAGTCATTGCTTCTTGGAGCATCAAAGGATCCCAGGCAGCCAATTGTCTTTGAGGGTTGACACACTGCAATCTGCATACAGGAGGGCTGGCACGAGTTTCCAGATAGCCAGTCAGTGAGTACTGACACTCTTGGATTTGCTTGAAGAGAAAAGGGTCCCTCAGTCGCTCCGAGGCACAGGCACATGTGTGTTGGTCTTTATGGAGGCTGTTTTTCTTTGATAAAGAGAGTATGTAGAAATGTTTCCCCAGTGTCTATCTCCCTAAGATGCTCACACTGTTCAGTGATGATTATCTGTAAGTGGCTTCCATTGAGCCAAAAACAACAGATGTTAATATCCTCTCTTAATAAATGACCGTGGATCAGTGTTTTCTTGTAAAGATATTGTCAATTCTTAATGTATGCTGTGTTCTACAGTTGTTCCTAATGTAAAGTCTTTTTTCTGTCAGGTGTTCACATTGTGCAGCAGATGTACGGCTGTGAATGGGATGATGAAACAGATGAAGTGAACGGATATGAGCAGTTTGGTTATGATGGAGAGGACTTTATAAGCTTTGACCTGAAGACAGAGACGTGGGTCGCTCCTGTACAACAGGCTGTCATCACCAAATACAAGTGGGACAGTAACAGAGCTCTGATCACACAGAGGAAGAACTACCTCACCCAGATTTGTCCTGAGTGGCTGAAGAAGTATGTGAACTATGGGAGGAGCTCTCTGATGAAAACAGGTGAAATCATATAACATGCTGTTTTTTGGCCAGAACAATCTTAATATTTTTCTTTTTCTGACCATTAAAACATAAAAGCATTGACACCCTCGCCCCATCAAAAAAACATCAAGGTTAAATTTTCTCTTTCTCTCATTTCCATTCACACATTGACATTTGCCTCTTCCTACCTTTCTCCTGATTTCTCTGTTACTCCTACATATTAATTACAATTGTTTATTTTTTGTTTATTTTTTGTCATATTTTCCTTTTGCCCCAATTTTCTCTGGCCCAATTTATCCACCATTTACACGCTGACATTTATAACCAGTCTCTCCCAGCCTCCATTTCTTTATCATACATACACATGCTAATAGGCTTTTTTAAAGTCTTAACTAAGGCATTGAAATTACATTACATCCCACAGGAATTACATTAGTATGTACATAATAGTAATATAGCATCTATCTTTCTCTTCTCTCCTTAGTTCTTCCCTCAGTGTCTCTCTTCCAGAAGTCTTCCTCCTCTCCGGTCACCTGCCACGCTACAGGTTTCTATCCTGACAGAGCCGAGATGGTCTGGAGGAAAGATGGAGTGGAGGTTCATGAGGGTGTGGAGAAAGGAGAGATTCTCACCAACAATGACGGGACCTTCCAGATTAGTGTTGATCTGGATCTTTCATCAGTCACACCTGAAGACTGGGAGAGGTACAACTGTGTGTTTCAGCTCTCTGGTGTGAACGAGGACATGGTCACCAAACTGGACAAAGCAGTGATCAGAACCAACAAGGGTAAAAGTGATGAAGGTAGGAAACACGCATTTAGTTTACTGTAAAAATGGTGCAGTTCACGTGGTTTTATTTGAGTTTGATGAAAAGTTTAATTCCTCGCCCATTGTATACAGATTTATTAAATTTTTCATACTGATACTGATTTGTTAATTTCTTAATAAATATTAACATTTAAAGTTTTGAGCGCTCTGATTCAAATTATTGCCCACTTTGCTGTCTTTTCACTGTTTATTTAAATTTGTGAGTGTCTTTTTCCCCCCGTATTTTTATTTAATTGCCAAACTGAAGTTTGTCTCTTTTAACGTGTTTCATTTGTTCAGGTTATGATTTATTTGTTGTTGTGTCATCTACAGGAAATTTCCTCGCCAGGATCTTTGCGACCATGAAACAATGGTTCTCGCAGTGATTGCTGTAATTGGTTTCATTGACTACAAAAAGAGAACAGGTGAGAGACAAAAACAGAAATCCCTTTTACTCGATGGTTTATCCAAAACAGAATAAGCTCCACAAGGGCCAGAGTCACAGTTCCATAAGAATAGGAGCTGTGTGACAATGTGAGAAAAGATACGATGTATAACATTTTGTAAATGTAACTGAAATTATTTTTTCTTTGTAATTGAGAAAAACGTCCCCCATCTCATAAACTTGTTTCTATTCTGTTTTCTCTGATCCCCCATGCCCTGCGTAGAATAAAATGTTTTCTGTATTTTATGTTTAATAACTTTTCCAGGATTTTCCATTTTTGAGAAAATGTCAGATCAGAGCAGGATGTGGACTAACAGCGTGTTTGTGACGTGACTTTCTGAGTCTCTAGAGCAAATGACAAACAGCCCTGCAAACAGTGAGATTACTGCATTTACTATTTTACTTCTTTTTTGTGCTTCAAAATCACAAGAGATGATTGCTAGATTGAACTGGGAATGTTAATATATCTTATTTTGTCTTTTTAGGTTTATGGACAAATTTTGCACTGAAACAAGAAGCATCAACAAGCCTCATTTGCCCCCATAAACTGTGACCTCATCAGCTGTTCATCATTCACATCATAAAATGAAGTGTTAAGATCTAGTTATGTTGTGGATTTTTTTATGACATATATACCTGTATACACTGGACATATACTCACATGTATACTATGTAATCACATATATTAGTATACACCATACACACCTATACTGTAGTTTTTTATATATTGGAATCACTGTGTTAAGCATTTAACCTACATGCTCGAAATCACAAGACCCATAAATTGAGGTCAAATATTATCTACATTTATATTAATAAAGTTTGTGCCACTTGTTGTATGAGCACATGCTGATGAATACTGTTTGAAATGTAATAATTGGGATCAATAAGTAACCTCTGATAGTGTTATGGCCAACCCCATCCAAACATAGGGTTAATTCAACTTGGCACTGCTGAGGATGCACCTGAGACTCTTTTCTCCCAAAGTTGTGAAAAACCTTTCTTTATCAAATATAGTGGCCCACCTCAAACCAGAGTTTGCCAAGGTTGTCAGGATGATTAACTGTTATCTGTGAGATTTGTAGACTTTTGGACTCACTCTGGCCATAAAACTGACAAAGGGATCCAATTAAAAATGATGGATGCTGGGAATAGGGCTCGGAAAAGTTTCGGAGTAACCCAGAAGGTTAAGTGACACAAGTGTCGGAGATTAAAAAAGCTGCAAAGTGCAAGTGGGTTTGACAACCGCTTGGGGGGAAAGGATTGACAAACATATTACATCAATAATTGGGGTAATATTGATATTTATAGTGTTAAGAAAGTACTTATTAGTTTAAAATTAATACGGTCCAAGTAAAAAACAAGGAAGGAAAGTTACCAAACAGCAGGAAGAGGGATCACTGATCCCATATAAAGGAAGGTTAGATATGCCCGGGCAGCTTTTTTTTCCTGGCTGTCATTTTATGTGTCTCTGCTGTTTATGCTTAAAGGCTCTACACCCTTCGCTTTGCGGGCTTGCTATATGCTGTTGTGCGGTATTGTACTGTTTTGCTGTGCATATAACACTGTTTAATAAACTCAGTTTTAAGAATTCTACTCTTTTCCAGAGGATCTAAATTGATGAAATGGTGCAAGTTAAGGTGGGTTTGTTTCATGGCTGCCATCAAAGATGAGTTTTAACCTGCTTGATTTTGTTAATCAACCTACTGTTAAAAAGATTGAATTGTGCCATGAAGTGTTGCTGCTCACTATAAACTTTTGGTACCAAAATATGGTGTAAAAAGGGACATTAAGCAGGCATTGCTGGAGGGGTTCATTGAGTTGGGTAGACTCAAGACTCTTTAGCGCCCCCTGGAGCCTCTGCTTATCCTGTTTTTTCAGATAGAACGGAAAAACAAGCTATAATTGCTACACCTCCGGGTGCCCAAGTCAAGCCAGATGCAGCTCCACAAACCCTGTCTCGCTTTAAGCCTTTCTCTCCAGAACCCCAGAAATCTAGCAGTGATGCAAAGCTTAAGGTTCACTTACTTCATTTACAGATAGAGGCCCAGGAGAAGGTGCAAAAAGCAGATTATGATTTCCGGCTACAGATCCGTAGGCTTGAGATAGAAGCTGAAAAGGAAATAAGGTTAAAGCAGCTTCAAGTAGAAGCATTGAAGATATCCTCAGGGCAGAAGACGCATGCCACTTGAAGAAACCCCAAAAGTCTGACAAAAGTTTTGAAGTGAGCAAGAACATTGCATTAGTACCTACCTTTTTTGAGTCTGAGGTAGATTCATATTTTAATGCTTTTGAAAAGATGGCTACTGCTATGAACTGGCCAATAGACATGAAGTATTTTAGTTCAGTGTAAACTAGTGGGCAAAGCTCAGGAGGTGGTAGCTTTACTTTCCTTAGAGCAGAGTATGAAATGTGAAGTGTTGAAAGAAACAATTGTACGTTCCTATGAACTGGTACAGGTAGAAATTTAGGAATCACAAGAGGTCTAGCAGCCAAACATACATTGAGTTTGCACATGAAAAGAGGATCTTTTTGATAAATGGTGTGCTGTTAACGGAGTTGGTGATGATTATGAATCACTGCACGAGTTAATGCTATTGGAGGATTTAAAAAATCCTTTACGTGAGAGAGTCATAATGTTGTTAAATGAACAGAAGGTGATGTCAATGTCAAAAGCAGCTGTGTTGGCTGATAAGTTTGTGTTAACACGTAAGAATGTTTTTTTGGATTTTTTTTTTTTTTACCCCTATTTCTCATCCAGACAAACCCACAGCCTTGCACCCTGCACGGCTTGAGTCTGGTCGCTCCGCTGCTAGGCCAGTGAGACTACCTTCACCTCCCCGTGAGGGTCATCTCATTGCAGAGTGTCTGGCATAAAAGCGCAAACAGCAACTCTCCTCACAAGCAAAAGTGTGGGACTGACTAAAGCTACAGAGAATGGAATGACATTGCAGCCTGACTATCACCATGATCCCTGTTTCAAACCCTTCATCCTTGAGTGAGTAGTTTCACTGACTGGGAATCCGAAAGGTCAGCAGCCAGTAAAAATACTGAGACACGGGGGCCTCTCAGTCCATCATTAGAGAAGAGATCTTACCATTTTCAGAGGAGTCATTCTGCTAATCTAGTGTCATTCTCCAGGGAGTAGAACACAGATTCATATCTGCCTCTTTGCACACGGTTCACATCCAGTCTTCCTTAGTTAGTGTGATTGTTAAAGTTGCTGTTCATTCTGCATTGCCTATCAAAGGTATTGACTTCATCCTAGGTAATGAACTTGCTGGAGGCAAAGTCATGCCCATTCCTGAAGTGTTAGACAGACCAGAGCTGAATCTGGAGTCTACCTCAGCCCATGACCAGCCTGATATTCTTCCAGCTTGTGTCGTTACAAGGGCTTAATCAAAGTAATGTCCTGACTTGGCTGATTCCTTTGAGGTCAGATCTCTCTAGTGATGCTGTCACATTTAAGTCTGGATCTAGGGGTCAGGCCAAAGTTCCACCTGCTGATAAAGCACAACCAGCCCTGCATTTGCCAGTCTCCCGAGAAGAATTAATTACAGCACAGAAAAATGACGTAACCCTGTCAAAGTGTCACTCTTCTGTCCACAGTCAGCAGGATGCCAAGAAGAAAAAGCTGGCTTACTTTTCAGATGAAGGTCCACTGATGCACAGATGGACGGCTGAGGCCTACTGTCTATTGTACCCAGGTACTGTCCTTAGCACTTTTTTTTTTGTTTTCAAGAAAATAATAGTGATGATTTTCTTTGTGCTTTTAAGTGGGGAAAAAGCACATTTTCTCATTTGTTTTTTGCAGCTGTCTTTAACAAGATGGAGTATTTGGTCAAATGGTATAGATTCTTTTATACTATTATTACCTAGTGTTTTTCTTTTCTTTTTCTTTTTTTAAACTTTGCCTTCTTTTACTATACGCTTGAAGTAGAATATCAAATATCCATCCATCCATCTTCATCCGCTTTGTCCGCTGAGAATATCAAATATTCAAATAATATTCAAAACCACAGTTACATTCCATGTCTACCCATTATTTCACACTGGACGAATCCAGTCTCAGTGCAATGTCTTTTGTCCTCTGAAGAAGAAAAAAAAACCTTTTGCACTGAAATCTGCCTGACAATTGATGATGGGGAAGTTGTCAGGCTAATGTTGTCTAAGGAGCTTGGAAAGAAAAGCGTCTGGACTTCTTTAAGTTGCTTGAAGACGTTTCACCTCTCATCCGAGAAGCTTCTTTAGTTCTAAGATCAAATAGTAGAGAGTCTCAGATTTTAAGTATGGGGGGGCAGTGAACCTGCTAGTTTTTGTTTTTTCTGAAATTTTTGTTTCTGTTTGCCAAGTAAAATACCACAAGCATCTAAAAATAATACTTTTCTTGCTCTGTTTACCAGCAATTTGGAAATACTAAAAAAATTTTAGGGGGGGGTGTAATTCTGTTCTCATCCGTACTCATATCACAGTTAAATACAAGGTGACACCAAATCTAGTTACCAATACATTTCAAATAGTTGTCAACTGTTGCATGTATCTTTAAAGAATAAAATCTGCCATTCTTGCAAATAGTGATCAATCTCTGAGATCCACAGCCAGTAAAAAGTGCACTCCCGTCTTCAGCACACATGAAACAACAACAATAAATCATATTTGTTTCTTACTGATAGTTCCAGGACAACATACCGTGCCCAAACTTGACACAGAGATAGAGGACTGTGAGAAACAAGCTACTAAAAAGTGTAATGGATTTGATGAATAGGTTTAAACTAAAAGTCAGTTGTCTTTTTCAGGTATCAAGGGAGCAAGACAGCAGGGAGTCACAAGAGATGTCTTTTTGCAGATAAGAATAGTTATCTGATGGACATCATCCCCTGGGCCCCTACCAGAAAATGCAAGTCAAAGTTAAGACCACATAAATATGGGCAAAGTTAGGAACTGAATAGGATTTACACCTCTTCTGGTGTCACGCAGTCACCCATCCTCATCTTCTTCTTGAGTAGAGTGAGGGCTAAAAGTGAGATTTGGCAGGTGGGGGAACCTTTAGATTGGTTGTTGTGGCTCAGTGTGAGGAAATGAATCAAAACTCACAATAATTTCTCTTTTGAGCTCTAGTAGATTTTCTCCGTGTACATGCTGTGATCAACTGACCTTTGCTGTTGCTCTGAGGTTTACTGCTTTGCACGAATTTAGCCATCTTGGCTGATTTCTATTTGTTACTCGTAGCTGGTATAAAGGTTGAATTCAGTGAATGAATCTGAGTATCATCGGTCTAAATTCAAATTAATCTCTGCTTAACATGATGTAACATACAGTGGCTTGCAAAAGTATTCGGCCCCCTTGAACTTTTCCACATTTTGTCACATTACAGCCACAAACACGAATAAATTTTATTGGAATTCCAGGTGAAAGACCAACACAAAGTGGTGCACACGTGAGAAGTGGAACGAGAATCATACATGATTCCAAACATTTTTTACAAATAAATAACTGCAAAGTAGGGTGTGCGTAATTATTCAGCCCCCTGAGTCAATACTTTGTAGAACCAGCTTTTGCTGCAGTTCCAGCTGCCAGTCTTTTAGGATCTGTCTCTACCAGCTTTGCACATCTACAGACAGAAATCTTTGCCCATTCTTCTTTGCAAAACAGCTCCAGCTCAGTCAGATTAGATGGACGGCGTTTGTGAACAGCAGTTTTCAGATCTTGCCACAGATTCTCGATTGGATTTAGATCTGGACTTTGACTGGGCCATTCTGACACATGGATATGTTTTGTTTTAAACCGTTCCATTGTTGCGCTGGCTTTATGTTTAGGGTCGTTGTCCTGCTGGAAGGTGAACCTCCACCCCAGTCTCAAGTCTTTTGCAGACTCCAAGAGGTTTTCTTCCAAGATCGCTCTGTATTTGGCTCCATCCATCTTCCCATCAACTCTGACCAGCTTCCTGTCCCTGCTGAAGAGAAGCCCCCCCCAGAGCATGATGCTGCCACCACCATATTTGACAGTGGGGATGGTGTGTTCAGAGTGATGTGCAGGGTTAGTTTTCCACACATAGCGTTTTGCATTTTGGTCTCATCTGACCAGAGCAGCTTCTTCCACATGTTTGCTGTGTCCTCCACATGTTTGCTGTGTCCCCCACATGTTTGCTGTGTCCCCCACATGGCTTGTGGCAAACTGCAAACGCGACTTCTTATGGTTTTCTGTTAACAATGGCTTTCTTCTTGCCACTCTTCCATAAAGGCCAACTTTGTGCAGTGCTCCACTAATAGTTGTCCTATGGACAGATTCCCCCACCTGAGCTGTAGATCTCTGCAGCTCGTCTAGAGTCACTATGGGCCTCTTGGCTGCATTTCTGATCAGCGCTCTCCTTGTTCGGCCTGTGAATTTAGGTGGACGGCCTTGTCTTGGTAGGTTTACAGTTGTGCCATACTCCTTCCATTTCTGCATGATCGCTTGAACAGTGCTCCGTGTTCAAGGCTTGGGAAATCTTTTTGTAGCCTAAGCCTGCTTTAAATTTCCCAATAACTTTATCCCTGACCTGTCTGGTGTGTTCTTTGGATTTCATGGTATCGTTGCTCCCAATATTCTCTTAGACA